AGTATATATATATATATATATATATGTTCGACTTGATGCGAAAATGCTTAATCTAGGTTTTATATGATAATGTATGTTTTTTTGATCGCTGAATACAATGCCCACAATTTATTTATCTCTATGATATATGCTTTAAAAAATATGACCCGATTAATATGAAAATGACTAAATTTTGAGTTCAAGGTTAATTTTAACAGGATTCTAAAAAATCTTAATTTAAACAGGATTCTGTCTGCGTTCAAATGGACTTTCCCCCCTTTCAATTGTAGGTCCGTTCACTTAGAACAAGATCTAGTTGAATTTTCTCGAGACCTTCTACAATGCTTTTAAAAGTTGTATTTAACTGGACTATAATACGTTTTTATGAATAAAAAAAATTCTTTTACAAGTTCTAAAATACATCGCTTTGTGATTTTGACATCACTCAAATCAAATGCTTCAATTCAACAATAAAAAACTTATATTGTATGGACAGGAAGTTAATGTATAGGGTCTTTCAATAGAGACGCTCGAAATTTGTTAGATCATAATAGCCATGTTGTTAAAGTGACGTCTGTCAAATTTATTGTAAATTGTTTAGTAGTGTATGGCAAATCACCATGGAAGGTCATTGTTAAGCAACGTGTGCAAATCATAAAATTTTATTATCAAAATCAGTGCTCCGTTCGAGAAACGTTCCGCGCATTACATGATTTTTATCCTCGCCACAACTGTCCTGCCGAGTCAACTTCGACGTTTGGTGGCCAAATTCGAGTCAACCGATTCGATAAATAATCAATCAACACCAGTACGCCGAAACGCAAGGTCTGTTGAAAACATCGCTGTTGTGCGTGAGAGTATACGGGAAAACTCGAGGCGGTTAATTTCTCGTCGTTCACAAGAACTTGGCCTTTCTATGACTTCAACTTGGCGAATTTTGCGTCGGGACTTAGGGACTGCATCCCTATAAAATTCAACTGACCCAGGAATTTAAGGTAAACGACCATAGACAACGCCGTGTGTTCGCTGATTGGGTTTTGAAGCAGTTGAAACCTAAATTTCGCCAAACAAATCATCTTTAGCGATGAAGCCCATTTTTAGATGAATGGATATGTGAACAAGCAAAATTGTCGAATTTGGGACGATATTAATCCACGCGAGATACACCAGCTCCAAATGCATTCCGAGAAAGTCACTGTTTGGTGCGGATGTTGGTCTGGCGGAATCATTGGTCCGTACTTCTTCCAAAACGAAGCGTTATCAATGGCGAGCTACAGCTCGATGATAAGCAACTTCTTGTGGCCTAAAATGGATGATATGGATACCGATAACATGTGGTTCCAACAGGATGGCGCTACGTGCCACACATCGCATGCCACGATGGACATTCTGCACGAGCGATTTGATGATTATCTCGCGCGACGTGAACTGGCGGCTAGCTATCGAGATCGGGCGATTTAACGCCTATAGACTTCTTCCTTTGGGGCTATATAAATCGCAGGTCTATACGAATAAACCGCAAACAATCGATGCTCTCAAAGTCAACATAACAAATGCCATCCAGCAAATTCAGCCAGATTTATGCGAGAAAATCATCGAAAATTGAACCGTCCGAATATGTGTCACCAAGCGAAGCCGCGGCGGACATTTGAGAACGTTATATTCCATACTTAATGCCATAAAATATTTTTTCAAATAAAAAAAAATTGAGTGAATATCTCACACACAACTTGTTTTATTTACATTTAAAAATCGAGCGTCTTTATTGAAAGACCCTTTATCTAATATAGTAATAAAAGCCTCTTCAATGAATATTTTTTCGAGCAAATTATTGTAATCAACGTAATTTATTGTTAATAAGCAATAATAACATCTAATTATAATAAAAATATATATTTTCAAAATATATATTTTAGTTTAAAATTGACTTTATTATGTTTGAATCGATCAATGAATTAATGCCTTTATAAGCCATGCACTAGATTTCTGTGAAGTAAAGTCCTTTATTTAATAATGAAAAGGATCTCCTAAAAAGTCAAAATATTTGTTTATAATAAAAATATTTTTCATAAAAATATAATAATAATTTGCTTTGGCTCATAATCTCTTTTTATTTATTGAATTGATATTAATCATTAAGTCGAATTATAATATTTATTATTTATTATTTGAAATAAAAAACTATTTATTAATAATAAAATGAGTATATAATGCCAACGAAAATATGATTTAATTAATTGAAATAAAAACTATATAAAAACTATATAAAAACTATATAATAAAATATATAAAATAAGAATAAAAATAGAAATGGAATTTTAATAGAATCATAATTGATAATCTAGATAATTCATAATAAATTAATGAAAATTTTGATAATAATACAAATAAAATTTCGAAGAATGGATTGCGAATTTTGCAACACAAGAATATGGCAATTAAGGAACGATCATAAATTAAGTCATAAAGCAAAGAATTAACGAATGTGATAAATAAATCCTTTCATTGCTACGAAAAATTTGTTATTCTATTATTCTTTTCTGTAAAATAAACCAAAAGACACTACTTACTTGATACATCGCTACTTTTTCGTCGTCTTCTACCGACAACCTTGGTACTGCCGGGCGCGTACAGAGGATCGTCCTCCAAAGAAACCTCCCACGCAATAGAGTGTCTCTTGCTAATAGGTGGCGGTGGTGGCAATAATTCCTCCAAGGAGTCATCGGAAAAGCGCTCCTCTTCCGATTGCGTTCTAAAATCGGCCGAATTTCGTGCGGAGAAATCGGAATTACGTGTAGAGAACAAGTCGGAATAGCGCTCCTCGGATGTAGGCGCGGAAAAACGTTCGCTCGAGTCCATGTGCGGCAACGCAAACGAAACAAAATCGAGATTGCGTATGGAAAACGGTTCGGAGGTCGGCACGGATACATGATCATTCGAACTTGCGCTTGCCACCGCGATCGAGAAGTCCGAGTGGAAGCGCTCATTCGATGTGGAGTTGGCGCGTGAAAAGTCTGACGAATCGCAGTTGGCGCGCATAGAGAACCGTTCGACGCTGACGGAGCTGGAGCGTGCTATCGAGGACCGACTCTCAGACTCAGAGTTTCTCGAAAACCGGCCTTCGCTCGAATCTGAATCGTTGCGAGTGCGTCGCATCGACTCCTTGTCCGACCTATTCATCAGCAGACGGTCCTCCACGCTGCTCGACTTCATGATCTCATTCTGCTGGCGGTGATGTTTCCTCAAATAGTAACTGACGCGATCGGAACTGCTCTGATGACTGCCACCTTCGTCCTCCAGACACTCCTCTGAGGAACGACGACGTACTTCCCGATGCTTTTCCACCGCGCTCGGATTCGTTCGTGGTGGGATCCAGTTGAAGGACACCTTAACATCGTACGGCAGACTGGCGAATTTATTGGGCGGACTGGGCAGTTGAGTCAACCGCAACGACTCTACGGTCCCATTCTCCCAACCATACGGCCGCTGGTGACGGGTTTTCGGCTATCAAAATTTATCAAATTATCAAATTACAATAGGCCGAAAATTGTATTAGAAAATTTGATTGCGAGTAATTTGGAGTAAAAAAATTTTTATTTGTTTATTTTTTTTATATTCTAACATTTTATATTATATTTGGTACTAATTATTATCGTAATCAAGTTTTTTAAGTAAGATTTCGTTTAAGTTAAATATATTGAAAATTAAGGAAATTCTCCAATTTAAAAAAGTAAAAGGAGATCATTTTTTAATATCTTTTATATAGGAATTTTTAGTTATTATTTTTTAAATAATAAATAATTAATAAAATGTAAAATAATATAAAAAAGAAACCCAAGCGAAATACATCCATTAAACCTTCACAGCTTCATGCAATATCCATATGATGGAGAAGTCAGATAGATTTCTAATAAGGATCCCTATTATATTCATAACAGACGTCTTTTTATAAATTTATCATGGATATCCATTAAACGTCTGTTATGAATGTATATATAATAGACTTAGTATGTATAGCACCTTCAAAAAATAGGAACAACAGAATCTATTTCTTATATTTAGAAAAATGATACAGGATGGAACAAAAAACGCGGCGTTATGATATTTTTCACTCATGCTTTAAAAAAATGATTTCTTGAAAAAAGAATCTCCAAAATTGATTTGATAAGATAAAAATAAATAAATAAAAATTGAAAGTAAATATTGTTTTGACAGTTTTTTTACTCAGGCCTTGGTAGTCTAAAGACTTAGATACTTGCACGGAATACAAGAGATTCGGGTTCAACTCCCGACCGAGGTAATATTTTTCGCAATAAGAATTAATTATATATTTACAGATTTTAATAATCATTTAGCATTATTAAGATAGTTTAAAATACGAAAATGTATCAAATTGTTAAATTGTTAGTCAATTTAATTCGTGATGTTTATACAGTCCTAATAAATCGTTTATTATTGTGTATCTTCTTGAAAAGTACAAATGCAGAAAATGTTTCAATTCTCTAATCGGAATCATCCGGAAGTCTTTAATAGATCGATGCCTCGCTTGAATCGGGCTTATCAAATAGCGATAGTTTCGATTTTACGCGATCAATTCATAAACCGGTATCATTACGACAAACATCTACGAGAAAGTCGCAAGATTATGATCTCCCAGGTGCCAATCTGGTTTACAGACTTACGTATATTTCGATTTGTCATAAGCAAATCGAGTTATCGGTAATTAAACATTAAAGAGGGAAAACGGAAAAATAGAGAAAGCGAAAAGATACTCACAAGAGTGGTCTGTGTGGTAACCGCGTTCCCATGACGCATGCTATCCTCCACGGCCACTATCCACTGCTGTCGGCTGCCGGCATTACTTTGTCGCTCTGAGGTCTGGCTTACGTTCTTCTTTGACGAGTTTCCTGACGAAACCCTGATCAACAAATGAAGCAGAGATGAAAGGGGATAAAGATTATATTGAATAATCTAGATAAATTTATAGTGTCGCGTCAGCTTTCCTCTCATTTTACTGCCTTCACGATTTAAAACGGATATGTGTATAATAATAGTAGACAATGATAAATATTTTCAAATACTTTTAACATGTAATATGATGAAAATCATGAAATATCACGGTGAATTTAATTAGTTTATTAAATGTTGAAACGTTAATAAAATATTTTCACATATATAAATAAAAAAATACTGCACAAACTCATAAAATAGCATAAAAGAAAAATTAATAATTAAATTATATTTAAGGCTGTCTTAAATATAGTCGTAAGTGTCATAGCTAATCACAGAGCAATATTTACATCTTAAAATATTACTTAATATCGAGATACTATTAAAGACAGCTGGTCTTACAAAAGTTTGCGTGACTTATTAAAATTTAAGTGATGAGATTAATAAAATTAGTATTATATTATCAATTTCTTACTCTTAAGCCCGATTATAATGTTGGTTTGACTTTAAGTGAAGCTTAATATTCTCTCTTTTTTTATTTTAAAGTCAATAAAGAGAGAGAAGAGAAGGATTTTAAATCTCGTTCAAAAGTAAAGTAACATTGATGCAATCGGGCCTAAAAGTAAGAAATTGATAATATAGTACTAACTTTATGATTTATTAGTTAATAGCATACATATATACATATATATATATGCACACACACACACACACACACACACGCGCGCGCGCGCGCACGCACGCACACGCACGCACGCACGCACGCACACGCACGCACGCACGCACGCACGCACGCACGCACGCACGCACGCGCGCGCACACACACACGCACACACACACACACACACACACACACATGTATGTTAAAACTCAATATACTGAATTTTTATTTAAAACTATGATTTTAATGTTATCGTCTAAATTTAATTGTCAATAGAGATGATAATTGTAGAGAAAAAAGTTATAATTTTGCGACAATATACAGGATGTGTCAGCAAAATTCGAACAAAACAAACAGTTTATTATAACAATTGTTTATTAGTCAAAAACTTAAACTTACAAAAAAGCTTTAATATATCATTTAAGAAATTCTTCCTGAGTTTTGTTATTCAATGTAATTTCCTTTTACTTTAATCACTTTGATTCTCTGCCTAAAGCATGCTTCTTTTTAATTGTTCTCGGTCCAAATCTGCGAATGCTGCCTCAATGAGGCAGTTGCCAAACAACTTGGAGGGATGCAACATTGAGGTGCCAGGATTAATTAAAGGTGATCTAACACTAATATTATCAGTATTAACAAATACTGACAAACATTACTGATTGTGTATAGTTATTGATGGATTGACGTAGAATACTGATAATCTGGATTTTGATTGCAGATACCTTCAGTATCGGATATTGTATCTTTATTCTCAGTATCTTTATTGGGATCCATATATTGTCACAAGTATGTCAGTACAATAAATTAGGTACGTGAAACTAAAATGAAATATATTGTCATATACATACTGATCGTTTAAGATTGTAAAAATACTAAAAATATTAATGCACGTACTGTCAGTATTATTGGTTCAATATTATTGACCATGTAGGGTTACCTTTAAAGGTTACCTTAAAGGTTACCTTTAGTAATTTTCGATAATGCTACACACGTAATAGTTTAGAGGGTTTAAATCTGAATTATTGAGAAGCCAGAATTTCTTGGAACAAAACATGTCTACATTGATCTTCGCAGCCTCAGAGAGTATCTATTGTACCTTGATCGAGATACACATGTATCTCAAATCCTCGTAAGCGATCCGACGCATGGTGGCCTCATTCATCTTCAAGATGATCGCCAATTTTTTAAGCGACGTTTCTGGATCTTCCTAAATAAACTCTTATACTCTTTAAACAATTGTCTTTGCTGTCTTCTCCTTCGAATGAATTTTTCTCGTCGGATTAACAGATTCCTCCTCGGACTTTTCCGAGATCACATATTTTTGCGATGCTATACATAGTCGATCTCGGGTATCAAAAAAACTTAAGTCGGCGATCTTCCAGCGCGAAGACCTTCAATATGTATCACTCTTCGATTATATAGTATTCGATCTCACTAACGCGGTCATTTCGAGATGCATGTTTAAGCATAGCATTTCACAACTCATGGTTAACTCTCAATCAATTAACTCTTATTCATCTCTTTATAATGCTAAAATTGGAAAAAGATGAGAAATAAGTTGAACCTCGATTAAGTGTTAACTGTGAGTTATGAAACTGAGCTTTAGACTTGGTTTTTCATTATCTGATTAATTTGTGATTAAATTTAACCTATTGTTTTATTCAATGTTATTGTGATGATATCATGAATGAAGTCCATTGGATGAAAAATCAAGTTAAGCTTAATCACAAGTTAATCAGATAATGAAAAATCAGATAATAAAAAACACACGTGTCTTCAAACGTCAACAAACACATATTACTAAAGTTAAATATAACGGGAAATTGAATTTAAACTTTGTCCGGATTTTGCTGACGCATCCTGTATAAAATATTATAGTTTTAAAATAAAACGAATGAAAAATATCAAATTGATATGCAATTAAAAAATAATTAGCTCCGGTATCTACTAAAACTTAATTTAACAAATATTACTTATTATGTTAAATGAACTATACCAGTAAAAACTTTATTATTGTCTATATTTAGTATTGTCTACTATTGTATAATGGAAAAAAATATTAGAAATCCAAAATACTTATTTTTTTATTTAAAAAAAATTTTTTTAATATACTTTCCTTTTTGCTGTATATCTCATAGGAGTGGAATATATAGCTAATCATAGATAATATATACATATATAATAAAAAATTTACAAATAATGTTTAGAAATAAGATGTAATATGACACAATAATTTAATGAAATGCGTTTAATAATAAAGGATAATCATCTTTTACATATCATATTAGAAATGTTATGAGGTACACATTTTATGTAATGTATGTTTATTTTGTATTATATTTATTGCACTTAATACACTGAATCCAATGTACGTACTTCATATGATTTTGGCATAAATTTCGCCCACTAAAAATCATAACAGATCCCAGTCCCAAACAGATGGAATATAAGACGTTAAGCTAAACAAAATATATAAGAACTAGAAGAATTTCATTATATCCTATTCTATATACCATTCCTCTATATTTATCATCAAATAATTTTTTGCAATCTCTATGGTAATTATTTTATGTTTATGGGTTATGATTGCGCTACTTATTACATTGACAAATCGATTCAATTGACAGTAATTTTATTAATATTAACAGTAAAAAACTGAAATCATAACACATACTAATAATATAAAGGCATATAAGAGTGGTTGCATGCAAATGAGCTCTCACTCCTTTTATCTTTTTTATTTTTGCGGTAAATCTCTGTGCGGCGTAAATACCAAAGTTACCATATGTATAATAAAACCATTATTAAATTCTTAGTTTATATATGTGTAAAATAATATTTTAGTCATTGTATTTTTTATAATATCCTAACATTTTCGTAAATTAATAATATTATACATTCCGATAAATTAAAAGTCGAAACACATAATTGTAAACACATAATTGTATTGATAGATGACAATCTGAAAAAGGAAATACATAAATGATTATTGATGATCGATGCGTGTCTTAAGATAAAGCGGAATAATTTGAAGAATAGGTTAACAGAAATTTTGAAATTATATCAAAAATTAAAATTACATACGTATATATTCAATTAATCATATAAAATATATACTATTGATGTAATATTAGGTATAGGAGAAAGTTTGTGACGTTTTTCCGTTAGATGTAATGGGAAAAACGCCACGAACTTTTTCCTCCACCTAATATAATTTGTTTTGTATGTTTGATTGAATACACTATACGATCTCAATCTTTTATACAATTTCAAATTTTCTGTTAACCTATCCAAATTATCCCGTTTTACCCTATACTTACATCGGCAGAAAAGTCGAAATAATACGTTCAGCTTCTTCCGGGGGTGGTGGAAATTCCTGCGTCGAAACACCTGCTGGATCCTGAGGCTCTGGACAATCCGGAACCGGACGTAATGCTAGTAGCGCCATTTTTGCTTTCCGACCATTCATGCTCATGTAACCGTCGTCCTCAGATTGGTGTCCTGCTGACATACATTTTTCAATTTGATGACAAATTTTCCGAGAGCGATACAGAATAAGGAGTGAAAGTGCGCAGGGAAAGAAGGGATATCCTCGCGAGTCTTTCCAGGACAAAAACAATTTAATTCACCGCAATTCCGATGTATTTTAAAAGCAACGTCTTTTACGACTGCTTTTCAAACAATTTCCGAAATTGAACAGAAATCGCATTACCTCCATCGATGTTCAGTCTTTCATGATCCTAGAAATACGCTGCCACGATAAAACATTGCAAGCACTGATATTTCAAACTACTAAAAGCAATTCGAGAAAAGCGAAGTAATAGAAATCGATTTTTTAGTCATTTTTCCTCGTAACACACTTCTGACTTATAAAAGAAAAATTTTTTATATTTGTAACTATAATTATCCGGGAAAAATGGTCATACATGGTCATATATGATCATGTGTGAGTTTTGACTTGACATGATCATGTACGATTCTATATACGATTATACGTGGTCATTATACTAATTTAGATATAACTGTATACTATCATGCATGATTTTATACGATTATACACTCGATTATGCATGATCATATTTGATCATATGTGATCATGTATGATCATGCATTGTCGCATAACACGTTCATATATGATTCCATACAAATCCATACGTAAAAGTATATGATCATGAATATATACTCAACCATTCATGATCACATACGATTATTATATCAGTATTAAAAATTATATATTATTTAATGAATGATTTTGTATATTACTTTCGCAGTGAAATATTATCGTGGATACTATAATATTAATTTTTTCATTCTCATAATCAGGAAAAATAATAGTAGCAATTATAAAGAAAGAACACAATTATTTAGACAAGTTTTATATCTAGAAATAATGTGTGTGTGTGTGTGTGTGTGTGTGTGTGTGTGTATGTGTGTGCGTGCGTGCGTGCGTGCGTGCGCGCGCGCACATATAGTTGAATAAATTATTTTATAGTCAATTATGAAATAGTTTATTTAACTATTATATTATATACACTGCTAGAAATGTAAACATGAGCTTCCTTTAAATGAAGCTCGTGATGATGAACGAAATTAAAAGTAATGAATGATTTAACTGAAAATTAAGTTACAGTAGTTACTTAAATAAAATAAACGTGTACATTAAATTTCATAAATTTTCATGAAGAATACATTAAATTTTATGTACATGAATACAAATATACTTTTTAGTTAATAAATTTAATGTAATGTCACGAAATTAAATTCAAATTGTGTAACTTAAAAGTTAATAAAATTTAAGAACATTTCTAACAGTGTAAGTACATATATATATAGTTCAATAAACTATTTTATAGTTAACTATATATAACATAGTTTATTTAACTATGTACATATTAGTTAACTATAAACTATTAATTTTATAAAGTTTTTATATAAAGCTGTGTATCTTTATATAAAGCTTTTTTTTTATATAAAGCTCGTGTATCTTTATTGATTATCACTATGTTCTCCTCTGAATGTACGAGAGTAAATAATCGCCAGTTAATCATTCGCAGGTGCACTGGCGAGAATGAGTGCTGTCGATAAAATGCCGATGATTTCTGTACGAGAGAATCTGACTCTCATCTCTTTCTCTCCTCTCGAGAGCGAGGGTGTACATGCTTTCATGCCGATTTTCCGCGAATTGAATGGCAGGCCGCCAAATCGGCAGGTTTATGTTGTACGTAGGAGTATTTCGATGGAAATAAGGGAAAATATATATCTCAGAACGGAGGAAAACGTCAGCTAAGTCAAAGACTATGTCCGACGATCCACTATCCGATAAATCGGGGCTGCATTCGACAATAATCTTTTCCTCCCTATCCTTTCTTCTCGTCTTTCTCATAAAATGCGTTTTCTACAAGCTATTTATACGTACTTCTCGTATAAAAATCTTATTTGATCTTCCAGAGTGTCTACTTTATTTAATTTTATTAATAATTAAATTAAAAAAAATTGGTTTCAACTGTGCCAAAAGCGTTTTTAAATACACATTTTAAATGATTTTATAAATTATTTATTGATTTTTTCAATCTGTCTTTATATATGTACAAACAATACGAGATAAATGTTTTTTAACAGTCTAGTCGGATGCTTGTATAAATGTGAATTTATATACTATATACGTAGTCCTTTAAATTGCGCATCAAAATGATTTTGAAATGCAAACTCCATTGAAAATACCGCAGTAATATCACAAATTAAATTGACTAGCAATTTGACAATTCGATGCACATAGAAGCATCTTAGAACGATTTTAATGTCATTCAGCATTATCATTTCTATGAAACTTCTCTATTTACTATTATGCTATTTATGATTGTTATAATCATATAAATGTCATTCTGATATTTAAGATGTTATATTGCCACAATATTATTGTAATATTTTAATGTTTAATTATTTATCAATGTATAATATATATTAATATTTCTTTAATATTATATTATAGTATGTAATATTTCTAATATATATATATTGTAACAATATTGTAATATTACTGTAATATTACGTGCAATGTATATACTGTTTGAAATTTACTATAGAAAATTTACTATAGGAAATGAGTCTAATAGACAAAAATAAATGTTACGTCCGTCAAACTCCGATTATATGTTGGATTGGTTTAGAGATCAAATGAATAAGAAAGAAAAAATATAGAAAGAATTCGAACAGATGCTTTGTTTCGCATGCATCCGCGTGAAAAGGAATGAAGCACTTAATTCCGAAATATGGATCAACGTTTTGGAAGAACGCTATGACTTCGCTTTCAAAGAGTCGTACAATCATCGGTCCTATCTTGGGACGAAAAACTGAATCATTTTAATCCGGGACAAGATCACGTGCGAACTTTAATTAGCAGGACCGAGATACGAGAGAATAAATATGACAAATAAAAATTCTATTAGGGAGAGTATTTGATAACGATCTAATTTATTTTAGAAAAAATTTTCCTTATAATATTTATTGAGCTTAAATATTGGTTAAATCATAATTTGATTAAAGGGTAGAAATTTTAACATTGATTTTGATAAATGCATTTGATAATTTGAGAATTGGAATTAAGCATTCTATTTAATATATAAACATTCTACTTAATATAAGAAGCCAAAAAGGTTTTATGAGGTAATATTATTTGTAGGAGATAAAATATCAGCATGAATACATATATTTGCACCGTAAATAAGGAGCATATTATTTTATTTATTAACGTTTGTAAGAATAAAATTGCAATTTGGTTCTTTAATAAACTTCGTAGCTTTGGAAAATATAAACCAAAACAAGTTTCATAACCAAATATTTCTTCTATGAGACAGTATATGGTGGAGTCTGATAAAGTGCACATATGTAGTTGCACTACAAATGAGGTATAAATGAGTTGGCTTATTGTTCCTGTCAATCTTCAAAAATTAACATTTTTTCCTAAACGAATAAATGAGATGTATGGGTGTGAGTATGTTATTGTGTGTACCGTTTTCACGGATATAGGTTCGGACCTAAAAAAAAAAAAAAAAAAAAGAATGTCGTGTGATTTAGAGCGCGCGCATGTTATATATAATGTATAATAAATTAATTTATTATTAGTAAAAGCATGTATAGTAATAAGTACTAAAACACCAAATTACAATTTTCAATATTAGTTTACATACAAACCAATATCAACTGAGAAAAACAATAAAAAATAATTTAAGTGGTATGCAATCTCTAACTAACATTCCGCGAGTAATGTAAAAGTTTGTGTAAAAAATGATGTACGTAAAAAATCTGTACGAAATAAGTGCAAAACATGTAAAGTATGAGCCAGATGAAATTTTTTTCGGCTAGTTCGCAATTCACGGTATTTCTCTGATTCGTGACGTTCTATCTGTTTCGTGACGAATATCCGAAAAAAAAAAAAAAAAAAAAAACAAACTAATTCTCGCCGTCAAGTATGTCAGTTTGCTAGTGTGTGTACCCGAGAAATTGAGATATTGATTTCCTTTCCATCAGATATTGGCCAATTTTGTCGAAAATATTCGTTCGGCGTTACGCAGAATTACGTGGAAAAAACGAATTCTAAAAGTTGCGCAAAAAACATGTTTTTTTACTTTTATGAGAAAGATGTTTCTGTATAAGGCAGATCGATGAAGAGAATATTCGACATGAATCATATTTAAATTATCTCATCCACATCAAATTTTTGACAAAGAAACCTTTTAACTTTTGAGTCTTCAGAACAATCAGCAAAGAGCTGAATAAACATCCGAATCATTTTCAAGTCCTCAAGGAAGATTGAACAAATCTTGATAAATTCTAAAGATCAAAAACTGTCACTCAGTTCCGCAAAAGTGTACAAAATATTTTGCAGGAAAATATACATCGATGAAACCGGGAGAAGGGTTAATGTGCTCATGGAGGAACATCAACGGGATATTAGACTGAAATATATCACACAATTATCAACATTGTCAGAATAACAGAGTATTCAAACAGGACATCAAATACTATTTGATAAAATGTCTACTATAACTACAATGATATCATATATTTTCCGAGGAGGAGGAATAGGAAGAGGCTCTAAGAATTAAAAATACAGAAATATTCAAATAATTTAAACAAGAATATAGACTATAATGTAAGTAAAATATGGAAGATTGCTTTTCTAATAAGTTAAGGAAGTGCCTCTTCTCCCCTTTTACTTCCCTTTTTCTCTCAACAGAGTTTATAAAAGAGAGTTCTCCAAAGGAACTCAAAGGAGTGAAGAGTGATTTGTGATTCTGAGTTCGATCTCACTCGTGCCCCACATATATCTATGTTTTTTTCGTATTTAAGAAATGTTTTCCAATATTTACGGATTAAGCATGCACTTCTGTCACCGCATTCTGTCATGGATACGCATTTTTAATAAAGCTATATGTAGCTGCAAGCTATGTATTCATATTTAGAAGTTTTTTTGTAGATTTTCCCTTATGCCATACACTCTGGATTTATAATTTGCGTTTATCTAATTTCGTTTACTCCTAATATCAGGAATTAATTTCTCATGTACTGTGCAGATACATAATTACTGTTATAATTAATTTCATTAGATCTTAAAAAAAAATTGCAGCTCAATATCTTATATTTTGCTGCGCTTTTCGTTCTAATGAAGTGAAACGGCAAGGTTCAACAGGAATAATGGCATTAACAATGGATCACAACACTGCGACAATCAGCAAATCCTCTGACATCTTTAAAATAAATCTAAAAATTTATACAATGTGAACTTGAATTTATTTAAAATCTATATATTTGTTATTGTCATTTTACATTATCTCTTATAATTTAAAATTATTTTGAAAGGTTTATGTCAAGTAGGATAATGAATTAATTAGAACTACGACTTTTACAATCTATTTTCTGTTAAAATTTAGATACGTGATAGCCTCAAACCTCCAGAATTTCTGTGATTAGCAGTATCACAGAATTCCGAAACCGTGCGACATGCCTTGTATCCAAAGATACGAACATGCAAGAATATTTAAATAAATGTACAAGAGTGGTGCCATAAATATCAAAGCTCAACTGGTTTGTCATATTAAATGTATATGCAAGATTTTTACAAATTAAATCAGTGTTACTTGTGCGTTAATTTTTTTTACATAATATTTATTATTTGCTAACATTTATTAGGTGTACAACTTTGCTTCTGCCGTTTTTTTTCCGAAATTCGAGACTTTATTGTAAAAAACTGGTTATACATTTATGATTCAAAGTATTGTCCATCACTGGCCACTACTTTCTCCCATCTTTCGGGTAGCGTACGAATCCCGCGTCGAAAAAACTGGTCATCTTTTGAGGCTATCCACGAATCGATCCAATTTTTTACTTCTTCATAAGACCGGAAGTGCTGGTCAGACAGGCCGTGTGCCATTGATCGAAACAAGTGATAATCAGAAGGAGCAACGTCTGGAGAATATGGCGGGTGGGGTAGGACTTCCCATTTCAACGTTTCCAAGTATGTCTTGACCACTTTCGCAACATGGGGTCGAGCATTGTCATGCTGCAAAATCACTTTATCGTGTCTCTCGTTGTATTGCGGCCGTTTGTCTTTCAATGCTCGGCTCAAACGCATCAATTGGGTTCGATACCGATCGCCTGTGATTGTTTCAGTCGGTTTTAACAGTTCATAATACACTACGCCGAGCTAGTCCCACCAAATACAGAGCATGACCTTGGACGTCAAAATCATCGTTCTTGAAATCACTCACGACACGTTCTTTCACTAATAGCGGCTTCACCATAAGTATTTGAGAGCATTCGATGAGCCTCAGCCGCAGATTTCTTCATATTGAAGCAAAAAATTAAAACCTCCCGCAAATGACGAGAATTTGGCTCGTAAACTGACATTTTCAATCGAGAATAACTTTATGATGCAGACACAAATCGACTAATGTTTCTATGGAATTATGTTGACAGATGCCCAAGTTTATTGTATGATGTCTATGATCTATTTATTTCGACCACCACTTACCGCTAAAGCCATCTATAGGAAAACGGCGGAAGCAAAGTTGTACACCTAATATTTTGTGTTAAATTAACATAAAAAATTTGAATGGACCGTTTGGGATTAAAAAATGTGTTAAATTTAATACACATTTTTCAACTATGTAATATACACTGTTAAATTCATAATGCCAAATTATATTCAATTTAAGTTATTTTTAATTATTTTTATCGCCACTATTCCTACTCAATATGTCGTTAAATAAAATAACGGAGATAAACATTTAATTTGAGAAAATGTATTAACAATATTAAGTGACAATCAATCGATTATGAGATTAAACTTATATGAATGAAAAGTGCTATATTTAGCCAAGGCGATTCTTCGTGTCTAATAATATTTCTTGTGAATTTATACAACTTTTAGTTCAAGCAAATTGTGCGCCGATTATTTGTCGGTCTTAAAACACAGCTCTAAACCGAAACTAAAGTAATAATATCACAATTTAAATTGCTCATTAATTTAATTTGTCATATTATCATTTCTCTCTCTCTCTCTCTCTCTCTCTCTCTCTCTCTCTCTCAACTCGTATCAGTGCATATTTCAAAGCAAGAAAATAACCATCTTTTCTCGGTTTACCAATATCTTTTAGGTAAAAAGAAAGGCAAAAAGATTAATAATAAACGTCAAGAGCAATCCAAGTGGCATCTTTCGTGCGAATGTTAGTTAATTGCGTTCGGCAAATAGGGGAGAGAACGGTAGTTTCGCTAGGAAATAAGAAATGGGGAAAGACGATAACGGGAAAAAGGATACCTAAGGACGGGCTCTCGTCATCGGGCGTGAGGCCAATGCTTGGTTCCGTGCTGCTGCCGCAATCCCCGATGCCTCCGCCGCTTCTGTTCCCGACGCAGCCACCACCACCGCCGCTGCCGCTGCTGCTGCCGCCACCACCACCACCACTACCGTTGCCACCGCCGTCACCTTCGCTCTCTGCGTCGTGCTCGTCGTACTCTGAGAGCACCTTGTCCAACAGCTCGATCGATCGTTGTACATCGTCACCTCTGGAACAAACGTAATGTTTGATTCTATAGAGATTATAACCGCTCTGTAAACAGTGCGGATTATTTCAACTCCAAAAGGAGGAAAAGTTTCACTTTTGTAAGAGAAACAAATAATAATTGTCACTTGTCTTTTTGATGAGTATGCAGTAGAATATAAATAGAACGTAACATCCAAAACACATCCAAAACTTGCATAGAAGCTTTGCATAATTTTTTTTGTTAAATTTAAGGAATTATAATTCTACTTTCTTTTTATATTTTTACTTCTTTTGACGTAAATCATCGCTATCGTGGGCAAAGTTATTACGTCATCTGCTCCCTCTTTTATTTTATTATAGCCAATACCTACACGAACTTCACTTTCGTAAACGATAACCGATAAGCATCAAGATAATTTTACAATGGTGATGCAAACTATCTTATGGGAGCAATTAAAAAATCACAGTTTAATTAAAAAAAGAATGTGGGTCATATTAATCCTGAAATGCACACGTCACGAAACAAACGCGTACTTTTATTAAAACAGCAAATACAGGGCAGTACCCTAGAGTGCCCATCTCCTCGACTTTCATTATAAAATACATTTTTTCATTACGAGCACAAAAAAGTTCATATTTAAACATTTTTTTTTAATTTTATATATATATATTTTACAATTTATATGCATCTTTTATTTACAATTACATTTTAGAAATTTTTCCGTATAAAAATTGTAACATTAGAACTGAGTATTCTCCTAGACCAATTTGGCACCTATTTTTATGTTTGCGATTAATAAAGCGTTATTATTACCATATATTATTTGCATTATTTATATGTAAGATCTTATTAACATATTTTTGGTATTTTTTATAACTAGCAAAATAAAATTTTACTTAATTTTTTATTGCAATTTAACAATAGTTTTGTGCATAATTTCACTATTCATGCGTATTACTCTTTTTCATTGCTATGGTAGATAAATAATCGATTACTTTTGAAGCGAATATGAAATAAGACATGAAAAACATATTTTCAAAAATTGAATGGTTTTAAGAATATTTTACAATAATGATAAAAAATCTTTGTTTAATAAACAATTATTTATTTTGAAAAAAATTAAAACAATTTTTGAATTATTACTATTACAAAGTATTCTTAAAACTACTCAACTTTTATTGAAAAAGTTTTTCCCATTTTTTTATAGTTTTCATGATTATTCGTTTCAAAGAAACGGATTTCGAAAAACTGATTTTTGTCAAAGAACTGTTTCATTCTCTGAGTGCAAATGTGCATATGAGAATATATATGTTTTTTTTATCTAGATAACAATTTATTAAAAGCGAAAGGAACATGTCCGTTTGTTTAGTTATAAATGCCAAATTGATGACTTCGATAGTTCGAGGTAAAAATAAAAATAAATTATTTAAATGTAAATAAATTGATTAATTTTTTTGTAAATGAAATTTTTCAAGTAATAAAATATTAGAGAAAATATTAAACAGTACAAAAATTTACAGAAGTTATAAAAAGTTATAAAAATTTTTTAATTAGTTAGCAGAGCCAAAATAGCGCCGTCGATGGTTCTTATAATTAAAAATATTAGTTACACAATATATTGCGTAAGTCTTAACGGAGTTACTACGAACGTTACATACTATTAAATTCATAACATCAAATTACACTCACACTTGAGTTATTTTTAATTATTTCTGTACATCGTTATTGCTTCTACTCAATATGTCATTAATTTAATTAAAACAATGTTTAAACAATTTTTTAATTCAAGACAGAAGTCGAAACGTTTGTAAATTAAATACACATGTAAATTAACGACACAATATAACGATGGAAAATTATTTGCGCCAAAAAAACCAATGTTGGCTTTCATGTTTTTTAATTGTTTCAACAATTTGAATAAGCAAAGTTTAATATATTTTGAAAATCCTTTGAAATCTTATTTAATCCTATTATTTAATCCTTTCCAATTCATTTGAAAGAGAATAGTATAAAAATCGATATAAAAAATGATTATCTTAATATTTCTAATATTCTTGACGTTAAAATAATTACTTTTTATATGAACATTATTCTTTTCCAAATTAATTAAAAAATAATGAAATTGAATGAGACATTTCAGTGTTGAAAACTCCACATTAAGTATGTATCATATACACCATAACTCAGAAATTATCTAATTATTGAATCTCATGTCTATGACATCTTTTTGTTCACGAGATTATAAGCTCCATCATACGTAACTCATTTTATCGAGATCCAATATTCCATATAATTAGTGCGGAGTTCTTTATACTATCAGTTATATTTGAGTAATTGCTATGCGAAAGTAATACATGTCGGACTTTTCATAGTTTTAGTTAATTTGACGACACTTTCCGATTTTATTATTTAAAATATTTATATTTTGTGATTATATTTATCACAATATTTTTTATTAAATTAAATTTTAAACAATTCTCTTTTATACGAGCTATAGTTGACTAATAGCTTAATATTCACCAAAGACATGATTTTTTACATATGTTTGGATATACGTCCCCTGTACAATTTCATTTAGCATAAGAAATCGCATTGAGAAAACTCCACATTAACATGGACAACATGGTCTATCGAACGTATTCACCCTTTTAGTCAAAGCAATAGCAACGGAATTGTGTCACTATTGTTCACAGCCTCCTTTCAATACGTGAGCAATTCTGAGCCAGAAGCTGTGTCAACTATGAACACCCGTCCAATCAGAGCGCATAAAAATCATTAGAAGGATGAATCCCCGAAAGTGAGTTTCATGTTTCTGACGTTAATCCGGGAGATTAAATTAATCAATCGCCGTGTTTGCCGGCTTCATTGTCGGGAGCGTCAATTACGATGCTCTGTCGTTCGCCGTTCTCCCTGAGACTCTGCTTGTGGACATTATCACAGTTCGTTGGGAAAGAGCGGAAAATTTTTCAGTAATTAGCGTTGTTTACGTATGGCGACATCGATGTGTAGCACTCTTCGTTAATCAAAATCAACTTCGTCACTGGAAATCCAGTCGCGACACGGCCTTGGTGCTAGCTAACTCTCGTGTTAGTTAACTGTCTATTATATTAGTTAGAACACTCTCCGCAAGTCTCCATATTTCGCAAGATATCTCGTCTCGTTGAGCCTGTTCTCAACGATGAGATCCTGAAAGTTCGATGACTCAGCAATGGTTCATTAACTCAATCAATTTATACTGATTTAACGAAGCTAAGACGAAGGGCTTATGCAAATATCTCTGCTCGTAAACAACGAATGACATTATGATATCATATGCACCTATAATATAGACTTACTTAATGACTTGTCTTGTTCGTACATATCGTTGCCAATTATAGGGAGGAGGATAGTCTGTGAAATTATGAAATATTTTATGTTAATTTTTTTTACTACTTTTTTAATTATCTATAACTTAAATAATTGCAAATGTCGAAACTCTCCATTACTTTTTCTTACAAATTCATACACCAATTTTCTTACAAATTCATACACCAATTTATCTAGATTATCGCCAATGTCCTTCAAATCCGTACGGATATATCAAGTGTACAATTTAATTTTTGGCCCCTACACTTAATCGATTACAGCAGTTATTCAAATTAAAATTATTTTTTTACCGTATAGTCTTTTCACCGTATCGATTTAAAGCGTCCTTTCCTAAATCCTTCAGTTTTGAAACGAGATATAATAGTGACAGCTGTGATACAATCTCAAAACACAGCAGTGAAAGCAATGTTGTTCAAAAAGCAGCATTTAAGGCCTCCTTTTCGCATTTAAATTGAAGAAAAATGCTGATGAGGCTAAGAAAATGATTTGCGGCCTTAGGTAAATGCTGTATCTTATAATATGTATAAAAAGTGGTTTCAAAAGTTTCGGGATGATAATTTCAATCTCCAAGATAAAGAATGCTCTGGACAATCAAACAAAATTGAAGATGAAAAATTAAAATTAAAGATTTAGAAGCAAATTCTTGTCAGAAGAAGATTAAAAGATTGAAAGATTATTCCTTTTTATGTAAATTGTAAATAAATATTTTCGTTAAAAAAGCCGAAAATTAAGTTGTACATCTAATAATATGGCCAAATTATTTCCATAACCATATGTTTTTAATCTTCTCAGCGTAGAAAAATAACGCTCCGCTGTTCACGATGAGGACGAGATCGTCAATATTAGTCGAATTAATTTCATAAACTCAGACAATGTATTTTCATCGCCATCATCGCCATCATCGATATTGCATCGAGAGAAATAAATAATCATTTATTTTGTCGATATATGACTAAAACTTTCTTACTTTTTCATTAAAAAAATATGATGTCTTAATCAAAATTTAGTTAGAATAGCTTACTTATATGAAACAATACTTATATGAAACAAATACAATGATCAAGGAGTCAAATATCCGATGAGCTAGATAAAAAACCTATCAAAAGATCATTGCATCAAATTATTTCATAATCAATTATACATTACTTAAATTATTTTAGTGAAATAATATGAATCTTAGAATAATTAAAATGACATTCACTGTAAAATCTCGATTGTCATCTCTTTTGTCTGCATCTCTTTTGTCAGCATCAATTTATTTTGCTAATTATCCGATAAGCATCCCTCTTGAGATTTCATCAACATCGAGCTTATTTCGGAACAGACTTGGTGAAGTCAGCTAACACACTTACGAATATAATAGACTGTTCCTCTATTTATACTGTAGCAATTTAAGCTCGTAGATGATTACGTAGATTATTGAAGCGTGGTCACACAATCCCCAAACATATTGTAAACTGTACTGTTCGCCGGGAACGATGCGATGATTCGGGGCGCGTCGTTACAAATTATGTAATATAAGTATAAGTTATAATTCACAAATTTAATTTTATTTCATATAACATTTTCAAATTAACAATTTCAAACCTTTGACCGATGATATATTCTCTCTATTTGGCGTAACAAAAATTAAAATACATACAATATAATTGTCG